AAAAGGTCAGCAGTTTGAACCTACCAGCTAGCTGCTCCATGGGAGAAAGATGTGACAGTCTCTTCCATAAAAGATTTACAGCCTTGGAAAACCCCATGGGGGCAGTTCTATTCTGTCCTCTAGGGTTGCTATGAGTCAGAATTGACTTCATGGCAGTGGGTTTGGTTTGGGCTTATTAGAAGGAATCCTTAGGTTAAACTTTATTTGGTTCTATTGCATTATATTTACATATTGCATAATTTGGCTTGCTGATATTTTCTTAGATTTTTGCTTCTTAGGTTTTTTTTTTTTTTTTGTGAATGTCATTTCTGTTAAGGTTTAGTATTAAGGTTATACTAGTTTCATAAAAAAGGCAAGCCTCTCTTGATCTGTTGCAAGCCCTGGAGGAGGTTATATAGTGAAGTAAATTGTACAGCAAAAGGCAGGATGGTGTGAGAGACTATGATGTCAGATACTTTACTTTTAGTCCCGAGTCTGTCTCCACCAGCCATGTGATTTTATGTAGATTATATCACTTCTCTAAGCCATGTGTTCCTCCTCTGCAAAATGGGTACAGTAATAGTATCCACTGCAAAAGTGAATAAAACCAGGGGTGAGAGATGATGGACAGCCTTCTGATCTGGTGGAACTGGCCACTCTCAGTGTCCCCTTACCTGAACCGTGGTCAGCCCCCTCTCTCTTGGCCTGAAACTCTATGATCTGGGGCTTTATCTCTGTTAAGCTGCTTCAATAGCCCTTGGCTCCGATTTTGTCACAGGTTTCTTCAATTGTAGGTTTTTGTGTCTAGGACTTGGCAGGAAAGTATGTAGAATATTGAAACAGAGGAATCATAAATGATAAAATTAATTTAAAAAATAGGCTTACTGGAAAGTCCTGAAACAAATGCCTGGAAATAATCTTTAAACCTTGAGCAAAACTATCCCTTGAGTCCGTTGTTAACCTGCACAACAATTTAGCCCAATTAATAAAGAAGTTTTGCCTTGAGCATTGCTTTCTTATAAAGAATTATCTAAATGAGCTTAATCTGACAAGAGTTAGTCTAAAGCATAGATGAGAACCTAAATGAATAGTGATGAGACACTATGGGTAGTGATAGTGACACAGTGTGAAGTGTGTAATTAATGTTATTGAACTGTTCATGTAGAAATTCTGATTGAATGTATATTGAGTTGTGCATATTGCCACCAAAATAAATAGTAAAAAATAGGCTTACTAAATTACTAAAAAATTAGATTCATCTGGAGAATTCAAGAAAATTTAATATGTGACATTCAATATTGTGTATATTGTGTATATAGCGTAATGGTATATAAAGATGTCCGCCATTCATTTCCTCTTTAATTTGATATTGTCTTAGATTCCACGTGGGTTCAGTTTAACCAAATTAATTGCCCAGTTTCTCAGAATACAAGCCCAGAGAAGATGACTCTCCAGGATGACAGGCTGGTGCGGCCTCCTTGGGAAGACCAGCCTAGTTCTCACACAGATGTCTGATATCCTGTACCCAATTGCCCATGGAACTGGAACATTTTGGGGAAATAAGTGTTGACTCAAAATGCAACTTTGCAGTTGTTTGGAGATGAAAGCAGGCATAATAGATGAGCTATTTCTGAAATTGTCTAGAACTTGAGGTGTTCTGAAGTCTTTGCTGGATATCCATGCTTTCCCCCTCGGGTGTCTAAAGCACGTGCTTTTGTCTACCATTCATATGGCATTTATCATTGACTCCTTATGACTGATAATATGTTACCGATCATCCAGATCTAAGGATTTAGGATTTGCATTTCTAATACTGGCACCATCAGGGGTTCACTGATTTTCTTCTCCTTTCTGACCCCTGCCTAGCTCAGGTTGAGACCACACACCTCCTGAATGCTGCTGCCACCCTAAACCATCCTTCTTGGCAGATCAAACAAAAGGCTGTTCAAGAAAGTGGTTCAACAATCAAGTTCATTGCACGTAATTGAAACATTCTTCCTGGTATGAACACAAGAGTTGAAGGTGCATCAAACATCAGGATTATCGGAAGAGAAAAAGGTTTTTCATCAGGAGCAAAGTTTTGAGGAAATCTGCATTACAAGAATCTGGAACTTGTCTTCTGAAGATGGGTCAAGTATTATGTATTTGCTGTATGCTCTTTGAGGCTAATACTTTACTCAGAGCAAATGTAAAACAAAACAAAATAAAAAAACGGCTCATTGGGATATGAATGGACCATGAATGTAGATTCTCTACTTATAAGCAGCTGCTGAGTTGAAGGTGACTGCGGGCATTTATAGGATGTGCAACTGGTTTTCTTTTCTGTTTTAAAAGACTACCACAAAACCAGATCCACTGCCCTGAATCCATTCCTATTCATAGTGACCCTATAAGACAGTAGAACTGCCCCATCGGTTTCTAGGGCTGTAAATCTTCAGAGAAGCAGACTGCCACATGTGTGGAGTGGCCATTGGATTTGAACAATTTGATTAGCAGCTGAGTGCTTAAGCATTGCACCACCAGGGTGTCTTTTAAAAGAATAAAAAGTGGTTAATGAAAATAAACCACTCTCTCCCCTCTCATCTGGTCTTGAGAATAAAGAATACATAATTGTTTCAGTCATTACTTTGAATTCATACAATATTAATTATGTGCCCTGGTCAGGTCCAAAGCAGGAAAGCACTGCTAGAGTCCGTTGTAAATGAAGCCCTGATGGGGAGAGATGAGAGCTGCCAGAAGTCCAGAGAGTGGTAGGAGGGGAACCCAGCCAACAGTAGACCCAGCACGTTACATGTTGCCATGTGGGTTGCTTGGCTACGTTTTGCCTTTCTTTACTTACAACTACTTCTCTCCACATCTCAAAGACCACATTTTGGTACCCCTGGGCAGCTGGGACTCAGATTTTCTCCTGTTTATTTTCTATCACCTTCTCTGTGCTTTAGTCCTTCTCTGTACAAAGCAGGGGATGAGCCATATTTAGAGTAGAGCTCCTGATGAAAATCCTTTTTCTCCTTCAACAATCCTGATGCTGATGTGCTTTCAACTCTTGTGGTCACACCAGGAAGAAGCTTTCAATTAAGTGCACTGAACTTGCTTGTTGAACAGTGTTCTGTTCTGGTTACCTAGTGCTGCTCTGACAAGAATATACCACAAATGGGATGGCTTTAACAAACAGGAGTTTACTCTCTTACAGTTCAGGAGGCTAGAAGTCCAAGTTCCAAGTGCCACGCTCTAGGGACTGTGTGAAAGCCCTCAATCTTGGGCTTCACCTCTTGCCTCTTGCTCCCAGCCCACTGAAGCTAGAGGCATCTCTCCACTCAGGCAGCTTCTAGCTCCTGAGTTGACAAACCCAAGGTCAACAAGTGAAAAGGTGTAGTCCTGATGTTACCACATGGCAGGCCATTCATTCAAGTCCATTGAAAGTCCCAAGGTTGGCAGAGCATGGCAGGCTGCTGAACAACCACATGGTTACATGCAGGGTTCAAGTGAACCATAAGCTAGAGACCATTCCCAAAGCTGTTTCTTATATATGGGAAGAAGACCATATACTCAGCTCCTCCAATATGCTCCACCATGGAGTGAATTACCAATCTCACCATGGAGAATAACTACATTTAGCTGCACAGCCACTCAACCAGGCCCAGCCAAGTTGACACACAAACATAACCACCATAAACAGCTTTCTTGAACAGTCTTTTGTTTGACCTGCCAAGAACAATGTTTTGGGGGTGGCAGCAACATTCAGGAAGTGTGTGGTCTCAACCTGAGCTGGGCAGGGGTCAAGCCAGGAGAAGAACATTAGTGAATCCTTGATGGTGCTAGTATTGAAAGGTCCATCCTTTTTTCTTCCTTACAAGAAATGAAGTGAGAAGGAAACAAAGGTGAGACAAAGTGGGTGGGGAGGGGAAATTGTTGTTCCTGATAATAGATAGCCTGTAAGTATCCTTTAGTGAATTCCCATCTTCCTGTAAGAGTAAGATGAAGAGGGAAAGCTATATGTGGTAGGTAGTTAAGGTAATGTGTCAACTTGGCTGAGCCATGATTTTTAGTGATGTAATTACCCATGATAAGATTGATATGGTGTAATCACTTCCATGGTAGGTCTGCTGTGAGCAGTTAATCAGTTGAAGGGGAGTTGCGTTTGGGATGTGGCCTACTTCCAATATATATTTGGAAAGGATCTTGCATTTGGTTCATTCATCATTGCTATTTCCTAGACTTGAACCAGTGGGCTGCCATGTTGCTTGCCGATCTTGAGATTATTCCATTTTACCTGCTGATCTTGGATTCATCAGCCTCAGCAGCCAGCAGCTGCGTGAGTCAGGAGAAGCCCCCAGTTTGCTTTAGTGGGCCTGGAAGGCAGAACTGAAGCCCAAGGTCAGGGGCCCTCCACCCAGCCCCTAGAACCAGCACTCTGAATTTGGATTTCTAGCTCCCTAACTGTAAGAGAATACATTTCTGTTTGTTAAAGCCATCCATGTGTAGTATTTCTGTAATAGCAGCACTAGAGAACTAAGACTAGAGAGTAGCAGACTTAGAGAACTAAGACACTAAGTCTTGAATTAATGCACAGCAAAGCAACTCTTTCTGATTACCCCATGGTGTGTTGCCTTTTCCTGTTTTCTAAACTGTAAAATTAGCCATGGTGATGCAGATTTGTATTGTTACATTCTGAGGATTTCAGTTCATGGGCACAGAATTAAAATTTTCCCAACATGGTCAAGCACGACTACATGCAAACGCTGTAGATGGAACAAGTTGATGGAATTTGGCAATAAAATGTGTGTGCTATTCCAACAAAGTGAAACTTTAGTCTTTTATTTTTCTTGAAGCCCTCTGACATTATTATTCCAGGAGAGGTGCTTGTTCAGTTTAGTATCCCTGTTTGTCTGGAGCATCTTTCATGTGAGTGTCACAGAACCTTTGAGTTCAGAAAGTCCATCTGGTGGACAGTATGTGAGTGACGTGTTCTCTTTGGCTGACTCCTCTGATGCTTGTGTTTTGTCTCCTGTCCCCTTTAGGAGGGTCAAGAAGAACAGCATCATCCTTAGGACACAGCTGTCCGTGAGGGTCCATGCCTGCATTGGTGAGTAATATCTGCAGGGGGCTGCTAGTCATCTACCCTCAGTGATTCAACCTGTGATGAGAAATGACCACTTACAAGAGTAACATAAAGTATTCACTGTTACACTGTCTTCTTGGGTTAACCCCAATCATAGATCGTTTGGGTTTTTGGTGAAGCGGTTATAGCAATACTTTTTGAAGCTCTGTTTCACTCTGGTTTCCTTAGCTGTTTGGTTAGTGAGTAGAGTTTGAGGTAAGACAGATTGTGGAATAAAGTTTTGTTTACAATGCTGGGAGAAGTGAGGTTCTTCTGCAGCTGTGCCAGCGGCAGCCTCTAGACCTGAGGGTGGGAGGCTGGGCTGTTTGACATCCTCTGAGCCCCCCCTACCGTAGGTTGAAGCGAGCCCCTCTGTGCCTTCTGTCGAATCTTGAAGTTTTCTTGTGGGGAAGTGAATGACAAGGTTCCAAGTTGCAGTCCGATGATTGAAAGGGAAATATTGGGTCAGCATGGAATAGGGGCACAAATAGTACAAAATGGTATTAAGTGAGCAAACATATTTGTGGTTCAGAGTGGCCATTCTTTTTCTTTTTCTTTTTTTTTTTTGATAGATATTAATATTTTTAAAAATTCTTATTGTGATTTGGGTGAAAGTTTACAGAGCAAATTCATTTTCCATACAGAAGTTTATACACATTGTTTCTTGACGTTGCTTGCCATTCCCCCAAGGCAACAGTTCTCTTTCCACTTCCTCCTTGTAGTTACCTCTTCTCTGTGTCCTTTCCTCCCATACACTGCCCTGCTGGCAAGCTGTCTCCCCTGCAAACACTGCCCTTCTGTTCTCCCATGATTGATTACTCCAGGAAGTATATCTACCTGATGTAAATGTTCACCCCATATGCCTGTCTTTTGTCTGGCTGGAAGGCACAGGAGTGAGTTCAATTCCAGACCAGAAGAGTACCTAGGGGCTATAGTCTCAGGGGTCTCACCAGGCTCTTATCAGACCAGCAAACCCGGTCTTTTTTTTTTTTTTTTAAATAATACTGAGTTTTGTTCCACCGTTTTCCCACTCTATCCAGGATCTCCTGAACTGATCCCCCTCTGAGTGGTTGACAGTGGTAGCTGAGCACCATCTATTTCTTCTGGTCTCATGATTGTATAGGCTGAGGATTGCATGGTGTACCAGTCCTTTGGACTAATTGTTTCCATGCATCTTGGTTTTCTTCATTCCTGTTTGCTCTGGATGAGGAGAGACCCATCGTTGCATCTATGTGGCTGTTTGCAAGCTTTTAAGACCCCAGTTTCTACTCACCAAAGTAGGATATGGAACAATGTTTTTGTGTAGTATGTTATGCCATTTGAACTTGGTGTCCCTTGTGACCATGGTCCTAAGCCCACAGGTCCAGCTACTCGTTCCCTCTGGGTAGCTGGCTGTGGCCAAGAAGCCACCACAACCTTGTCCCTTGTCAGCTCTGCTATGCACCTGGACATTCTTACAGCACATGCAACTGCACTTGTAGTAACATTGTCTGCCAACCCTATACATGGTCATGGGCATACTCCCCCCTGCGTAGACCTATCTGATCATTCAGCTTGTCCACCTATCTATCCACCCATAGATCAGTGTTTGCCTCACTGACGATGCAGTACTTTATATGCAAAAGGGTTCATCTTTGTTGTCTGTACCTCCCATGTACCTCTGTATGTCTTCTTCTATGCCACTGTGTTGATCACTCACTTTTGGTACATTGCCCTTCTCTTCATCCAAATCAATGCTTGTCTCTACCTATTCTAGCAGTGTTCTCTTCCCTCCCATCCCTGGTAATCAACAAAGAAAGTTTCCTTCCATACTTAAACCTTTCCTAGACTTTTTACAGTAGTGAACTAATACAATATTTGTCCTTCTGTGATTGACTTATTTCACTCAGCATAATGTCCTTGAAGTTCATCCATGTCATGTGGTGCTTCACAGATTGTACATTATTCTTTAGTGTTGCATAATATTCCATTGTGTGTATGTACCATAGTTTGGTTATCCATTTTTCTGTTGAAGGGCATTTAGGTTGTTTCCATCTCTTTGCTATTGTAAATAGTGCTGTGATGAACATGGTGTGTGCATATATCTGTTCTTGTCCTGGCTCTCACTTCTTTAGGATATATACCTAGCAAAGGCATTGCTGGATCAAATGGTATTTCTAATTCCAGCTTTTTAAGGAATCACCATACTGCCTTCCACAGTGGTTGTATCATTTTACAGTCCCACCCGCAGTGTATGTGAGTCCTAATCTTTCCACATCCTTGCCAACATTTGATATTTTCTATCTTGCTGGGGCAAGAGGATATCTCATTGTTGTTTTGATCTGCATCTCTCTAACTGCTAATGATTGTGAACATTTCTTCATGTGTTTGTTGGCTGCCTGAATATCTTCTTTGGTGAAATATTTTTTCATGTCCCCTACTACTGGGACCATTCTTGCAGCCAGTGGTTTTCCTGGATCCATCGGTCCTTCTGCCAATATAGACTTGGGTCAGACGGCAGTGAAACCAATGATTTATGCTAAGTAGACAGTTTTTATGTGAATAGTTTCTAAAGCTGTGGCTAGGTTTCCTTCTGGTTTGGGGCTAAGTCAGAGAAACTGTGTAATATCATAAAAGGAGAAAAAAATAAGATTCAGTTTGTGCATGGAAGTTCCTTATATCTGAGTAGTTTTGCTTTTACTTAATGTGTGTCATGGCCCTAATTCAGGACTATAATTAGGAACAGCTAAAATAAAAATTAGAAGAGAGTATAAATTATCCTGTTGAGTCCCAGCCTGTAACTCTAGTGTGATATTTATCAATGGGGTAGAAGGGTTTGTTTCTAGTTCCTCTCCCTCTTCCCTGCTTCACTGCTGGAGATCCAGGAATGGGGCAGGGGAGTGGCCATACGTGGAAGATAGTCTGGATGATTGTACTTCATTTGGTGTTAAGTGTATTGAGCCTGCAAACGTCTTGGAGTGACAACCTTTGTCTGACTCTGGCTAGAGAGTGATTGGGTTTCTGACTCATACACCTCAAGGACTAGGAGGTCAGGCACAGGGAGAGTTTGCAGTTTTGTTGGAAACAAAGTAAGATTTGTTAGACTTTCAGCCAACATTGACTGTTTTCTTCTCAACTGCCTGTAGCATGGAAAGTGACTGTGAAACATAAATGAGCACTTGATTATATTTAATCAGTTATGTTTTTATTACCTACCTTACATCTTTCTAGTTATTTCATATGTATAAATCACTATAAAGAAAAAGCCTGTAACCTAGGACTTTGGATAGACTTCTCCAACCTGCATCCCGGATCTAGATCATAGCATGTGCTGAATCCTGTTGAAATTAAATATTGGTTGAAATAATAGCGGTGATGGTTGCACAGAATAATGAATGTAATTAATATTGCTGAACTGTACATGCAAACCATGTTGAAATGGTTTTGTTGTCCATAATACTTAGCACAATTAACAAAAAAAATAGCTGGCAGCCACTGGAGATGGGTGGCATGAGTGTGAAGTGGTATTTCTCAGGAATAATAAGACAGTGGACAGCAAACCTACACTAAAATGCATGAGATCAAAATTCCAATGAGAGTGTCCTTTAAGAAAATTCACCCTTTTACAGTGTGCACTAAAATATTTCAAGCACAGAAGTTTTTCAGCAGCCTCCATGTAATATGTGGAAAACACACATCTTATCCCCATGGCATGCTGAGCACCGACGGTCATTCAACCCCACTTTATGAAGACACATGTCTTCTTGCTCCTGGACATTGAACTGTGTGCTTGCAGAGTATGTGTGTTTGTCCCCATAATTACATAATTTACATAAAAGTACATACATATTTTATAAACTCATTAAATATGAGAATAAACAGTTACTGCTTCTTTGAACATATATTGAATATTTTATGAAGATTTAAAGTTGTTCACTAAAAAGGTATGTCTGTCAAAGTAAGTCATTGTGACAGCTATAAAAGGTAGGAGAAAATTGTAAAAATCTAGAAGTCTACTCTTAGGTTGTTTCACAAATGTCTTTAATGCTTGATTTCAAATAAACTGAAAATTAGAAACATAGATTACGTTATTGGAGTGGTTTATAAAAACTTAGGTCTACATGGAATCTCAGTAGACCCTTACTCAAAAAATAGCTTGTGTCTCACAATAGGCTACGAAGGCCTGTCTTTTTATATGCTATAAGCAGCTGACGGAGAGTTCCTCATCTCAGGCAAACTGGGGTGTTTGGTCACCATGGCTTTAAGTTAAAGTTTTGAAGGCATGTAATTTTTTTTTTTAAGGATTTTCTGCCTTAACTAGCTTTTACCATTAATTGGCTTAGGTATGATTATGTTGGATGACAGGGATTGACTCTGTAAATTAACTTCAGTATCCAAGAAGGCAAAATTTTTTCTTTTTGTTGAAAACTCTATTTCTCATTCCATTTCCTATTATTGGCAAGATCTGGAACAGATTTATTATAATAGCACTAAATATTACCCTTTGGTTATGTATATACAATGGAATGTATGCATCATGTTTATGAATTACCTCCCCTGATTGTGACATATTCTTACTCTTTCCAAATGGCATTATTAGATGGGTTTCTTTGGGATGGTAAAAAAAAAAAAAAAAAAAAAATCCAAACCTGGAACAATCTCCAGTTGAAATGACAGAGGAGGAGAAAATGACAAGGGAAAAAGACTTTTTTACATCAGTTGTTTGTGAGACAGACAGACAGAGTTTCTTTTCAAGATTATTTTGCCTCTTCTCTATATAAGAAATAGATGAATGATTACAGGAGTTGGACATCTGGTCATTGTGTTAGGCCTCATACCACACCTGACATCCCAAAGACCTTCCTTCCTACCCTAGCATTGGACTGTAAGGATTCAGGATCAGCCTTTGTCTCTTGGGTTTAAAATACTGTCAAGTAAATTTCTACGAAATAGTGTTTTCCTCACCCTAAATCCTCTTCCCCTTCATTCCTGCTTTATTAAATGTA